CGTTTAGACTTTATGTATCTGCCATGCACTCAGAATGAGTTGAGATATAATGGTCCCGGTCACACGGGCAGGGAAATGCAGGAGGGGGAACGTGGCTGTTAGCCCCGGGGCTAAAAACCGCACGGTTGCTTGATCAGACCTACCGATCGAGGTCCCGTGGAGGTCCCGTGGTAGGGGGGAGGTGCCGATCACTCCACTGTCCTGCGGCGCGGCAAAGAAGCGGGGCGCGGGGCAAACGGGTTGGTTGGTTTTTTATTTAAACTCAAATGTGCGCATGCTCCCTTGGGTGTGTGTGTGCGCATCCAAGGAGACTTTGAAAAAAATTTTTCCCGAGGGGACATGGGTGGGCGCCGGAACTACCTCCGGAAACGCGATGAGATGCCCGCCCTTGCCCCGCGGTTTCAGGAAACTAGTACCTCCGAGGTACTAGTTTTTTACTGCGCGTCTTCAGTGGGAAGCCTCAGTTGCGCCATGGGAGCCTGACGCTTCCCAGATGTGCCGGTGAGATCACGCCCGGAAACTCTGCCTATCTCCCATCCCTCTAGCATGCCTAATGCTCCGTGTGACCGCAGCCAATGGAAGGTAAAGCCATCTGAAGCAAGGAGTGAACAAAAGGAACAGGAACGAACACACATGCTGGGCTGCCATCTTTTTGTCTGGCAGGCCTCCTGTGTCTCTAATGGCTACGTGACTGGCAAGAACAGGGGAGGGTCCATGGCTGAACAGTGGAGCATCTGCTTTAAATGCAGAAGGTCCCTAGTATGATCCCCTGGCATTTCCAACTGAAGAGACGCATCAGGCACTAGGTGACGAAAAAGACCTCTCCCTGAGAGCCTGCAGCTGCCAGTCAGAACAGGGAGGTTCGTTACTGGCCTTGATCTGCCCAAAGACTGGCTCAGTAGAAAGCAACTTCATGTGTTCAAAACATACAGTGTTTCTCCCCATGGCAAGGGACTGATGGGAAGGTTGAATCTACAGAGTCTCTTTTGCTGAATTTGTAGCTCAGCTCTTATTCCCTCTGTTCCCCCAGCGAATTCCAGCTCCACAACCTCCATCATCTCATAAATCACTTCTTTACTTACCAATACTAGTTTGAAGGGCAGCTCTTGGGATATTCTGAAATGGGCCTCATTGGTCCTGGTAAAGTTTCAAACTTATTACAAAAACCTCCCTCCTCCCCAAATCTGGCTGATTAATCAAAAACAACGTTGGTTGCATCGAATTCCACATGTGCACGCATCTGCAGCAGAAAGCTGTGTCAGAATAGCAGAGCGCCGAAGAGCTGAGCGACGCCGTATTTGCACAAGGCAGAGAGAGCATTCACCTTTACACTAGTGCAAGACCAGTGATAACCACAACCAGTGTTCCCTCTAAGCTGAGTTAGTGTGAGCTGGCTCACAGTTTCTTAGCCTCCAGCTCACACATTTCTGTCTCGGCTCAGAAAGGAGGGCTCCAGAGCAAATTAATTTATGCAGGAGCCAAATCACTTGCTCACAACTTTAATGCCAGTAGCTCACAAAGTAGAATTTTTGCTCACAAGACTCCACAGCTTAGAGGGAACATTGACCACAACCCCCAAACTCGACTGAAACCAGTTTAACTGTAATGGCCTCCCTCACCCCCACCCCAGAGTTGTAATTTTGCACAGGAGCTGAAAATGTATCGTTCTAATCCCTTTGCAATTCTCAATATTCTGAGTCTGAAAGCTACAGCAATTAAACAGGCTTGATGTTGGTTTAAACTGGAGGTGAAAACATGGCCTTAGCACTTGTTCAGATATTACTGATAGCAGAGCTTTAAAAAAAAAAAAAAAGCAAGGGAATTATTTGCAGGTTCCCTTTCTGGATCCGTTGTTTCTCTTTGCTTATTTCTCTCCTCTGAGGCTAATTCCCCCAGCCCCCTTCCTCAGCGAAAATTAGCTGCCAAGGAAGGAAATAAGGAAAATTACAGAGGGGGAGAAAGGTACACAGATGCTAAGTACAGTTTAGGACATCATGTGCAGGTACAGGTGAGGACGTCCCTGGATTCTGACAGATGCGGCAAGCTTCCACCTCCCGCTACCCTCCAGAAAATGCGCCAGGTGCTTCTCATGTATTGGTGTTCAGTGGTACAAGATGGTAGCTACCTCCAAGCTTGTGGATGCTCTTTAATGACACCTCATTTCTGCCACCTCCCGAATGGAAGCACTCCTGTATTATGATTTGGAAACACATAGTTCTTCCTAGAGGCTTTTACAGTTCCCCTCTAGAGGTCAATCACAAAACCATCTGCTTGGAACAGCTGATCCAAGAAAAGCCCAGGTACAGATTCCGTCTCCGTTTCCTTAAAGGAGGTATTTTAGAACTCAGCACTCCTATGTGGCTTCCTTTTCAGGGTCGCTTGGCTGAGGCTACAAAACCATCCCTACAGGTAGAAAACTGATGAAGGGAGCTTTTGTCTCTTGGAAGTTCAAAACCCCCGAATCTTGTTGGTCTCTAAGTTGTCGCTGGACTTGAATCTAGCTCTTCTACCACAGACCAGTCTTTAGGAAAATGCATTCTGCACATGGTCTGTGGAACCCCTATTCCCCAGCTAGCAGGTGAGGTGCTGAGAAAAAGGCCTCAAGCTATTGGAAGAATACAAGACATTGATTCCAGGGTCTAATGCTCCTTTCTGAGATTCCAAACCCCAAAGCATTTTTTCCTTACCTTTTTTTGGGGGAGGGGGGTGTATGTGTGCTTGCGAGCCTGGAAGTCATGGTGACTTCTGGCAACCCCTAGTGAGGCTAGGACATTTTCAGAGAGGTGTCTTTGATATTACCTCCCTCTGTGTCCCAGCCCCGGTATTCCTTGGAGGTCGCCCTTCCAAGTGCTCGCCAGGGTCAGCCCTGTTTAGCTTCCGAGATCTGGGGAGATTGGGCTTGCCTGGGCTATCCAGGTCAGGGCAGATTTTTTTTTTGAAAAAATTGCTCTTAATATCTCAGTGGTGAAAACCCTATCTGGAGGATCTATTGAGTCATTCCGGATGGGGATCAATCTACTGAGGAGACTGATTCTATTCTACAGTTTCGGAAATCTTTACATGGAGCAGAAACCACAGAGCCTGGAACAGACATGAAGATGGGTTGAAAGATTGTTCTCCATTTAAAAGAAGGGTGACTAAGGAATTTATAGCTGAATTCTATCTTCATAGATGGTGGAAGCTGAGACCCGACATCAGAAACTTAATCTGGCCCTCAGCTCCATGTATATCCCTGCAAAAGTCAGTGTGACTGAATGTTTAACAAGCACCAAGTTCATAAAATTGGGCGAGGGGTTAATGTGTAGAAAAGTTGCCATGAACACTGGCAAAGAGGACAAGGCAGGAATTCACCTACTCACCCCCAACTCCCGTTCCCCTGTTCTCAGCTGCATTGACCTTGTTCTTCATTCCCCTTGCAACTGTTCTCTCCAGGGTTTGGGGCAAGGCTCCCCCCTAAAGTTACAGATTACAGTTACAGATTCAGCTTTTCAGTAGGGTGATAGGCAGAGGTCATTTCGGGGGGGATCGCGGGGGAACACAGTTCCCCCGGGTGAGGTGCGGGGGGGCGGGGCACATGATGAAGCCCCACCCCCTGCTTCCAGCTGCCCTGCTTCCGGCCCTCATTCAGTCAGGAGGAGGCAGGAGAAGAGGGAGGGTAAGTTGCTTCCTCCCTGCCTCTCCCCACCCCTGCCTGCCTGGGGCCAGGGAGGGCCTTGGCGGGGCTTCCTCGCACTCCCGCCGGCCTTGCAGGTCCACCGCCGGGCCCCTGATGTCAGGGTGTGTGGCATATGCTAATGAGTTATGCTAATGAGTTCCCCTAGCTCTTTTTCTACGAACCGACCCCTGGTGATAGGAATCTTTACATGTGCAAACAGGAAGCAAGGGCAGTGGAAGATTGTCCATTGGCTTTTGCTGTCACATTGGAGTCCTTTGCCCTGGGAAAGCCTTTCCTTTATGGATTTTTTTTTGGGGGGTGATGCAATTGGAGAGAGCTCACTTACAAGCATAAGAGGTTTTGTTCTCCTTCCTCTCAGCCTTATGGGGGCACTACGGCTGCCTGAACCAGCAATGCTTTGACACCCCCCCCCATCTTGCCCTGAAAAGTTCCTTCTTCTCACTTTACATATGCTGGGCAGACTCCTCTTTCTGAATGTCCCAGTCATGAGCGAGCTTTAGGAGCCCTTCACTCAACTTCTGGGCATCCGCTTGCCATCGCACATATCTTATTGTTTCATATTAATCAGTAATAACATTAATAATTCCTCTTATTCGTTTGCTAAAGCTCTGAACACAAAATAAGGGGCAGGGAGAAATGAACACAGGCATTTAACAGAGGTACTATAAGCCATCAGAACCACGTCTTGTTTTTCTTTTTTCTTCCCTGGAACAATTTCTTCCAAGGGCAGGCACTGCATTGATCTCTGAAAAACCCAAAGCCATTGGGGCTCAAATCGCTAACAAGTCTTAAGCATGGGACCCAAGACAATCAAGCCAGGGCTTATGTTGAGCTCCACTAACGATACGGCCAAAAGAGGCCAGCCAAAAGGTCTCCCAAATAGTGATAGGCCAGAGCAGTCATGTGGTTCTATCCTGACCTCTATAAAAACCTTCCAAGTCACACTAGCTAAGCAACCTGAGCCAAACAGTGACTCTGATGCTGCTGTTCTAGACAACAATTTGTCAATGAATGTTGCTTCTGTCTCACGCATTCTGTGGTAGGAGCTGCATCTGAAACGAGCTCAACTATCCTTCTCACTTTGAAACCATCACACACTTTTAGAAAGGACAAAACAAATGCAGTTGTTAGGACATTTGGGGAGGAACAAAAACAGGGGGGGGGGAAGTAATTAAATTTTCAGAAACTTAACCGTTAAGAACCTGAAACATACCCTGCCTCCATAACAAATTCTACCCCGACCCCATAATTTATCTGTCCAGTATTTGCACCATTATGTACAAGGGAAAAAAAGCTACATAACAAAAGTGAAAAACGACCCCCCCAAATCAGTTTTTTTGTTTCTTTTGATGATTCACCCGCATCAAGTCTGAGACTCAAAACACATGCATGTTGCTTGCTGGCTTTTGGCGATGTTCTAGCATGCAAATTCTTCAGTCCCAGTTGAGAGTTGAGGGCTCCTTTGTTGAGAAGCTGAGTTCATAGTGTTCATTTCTTGATCTCTTTGCCTGCCCAGACAAAAAGGGGGGGGGGGAGAAAAGAAATGTATCAGAAGATGTCATTTCAGAGACTGAACAGAAGGTAAACAGAGAAAGGCAGGGCGGTATAGTGTTGGACTGAGGAACTCGGAGACCCAGCTTTGACTCTCTCCACTCTGCTATTCAGGAGTAATTTCCTGCAGGAGCGCACAGGAGCGGCGCTCCGGCAGTAAAGAGCCCAGGGGGCGAGCACATGCAACAAGCCCCACCCCCTGCTCCCAGCAGCACTCAGTAAAAGCAAGAAGCTGCCAGTTAAGTTGCAGAGCCCCCCTCCCCTCGGCCCCCCGGTCCAAAACGGTCCAGTGGCACCTTTAAGACCAAATTTTATTCAGGTACAAGCTCTCTATCCTCTGCGAGGACAGATCTACACGTTCCCCCCCACCAACAGCTAGCAACCCAAAACAGTCCAGTGGAGCCTGAGCGGTGGGTGTTGCCTTCTGACACACTCCTAGTGATGTCAGGGGGTGTGGCATATGCAAATAAGTTATGCTAATGAGTTATGCTAATGAGCTCCTGCACCTCTTTTTCTACAAAATGACCCCTGCGTGCTATTGAAGCTCACTGAGTGACCCTGGGGAAGTCAAAGGCTCTAAGCCTAACCTACCTCACAGGGTTGTGGTGAGGATAAAATGGATGAGAGGAGAACAGTGTCCCCATTGGGGAGAAAGGTAAGGTAAAAATGAAGCAAACAAAACAAAACAAAATAAACGACGACACAAAAGGAGCCCTGCTGGATCCTGTCTCAGGCACTGCCTTAATATCAAAATCGAAAATCACAGCCCAACCATGAAAGTTCAAAGACACAAGGAAGCTGTAAACAAGCGCAACATCCATGAAACAAAACCATTCAATAACAATATACTCTTTTAACAAAACAATTATATAACTACAAAGTGCACAAAAAGAGGTCCTTGAAGGCAGTCGCTGACGAAGCTCTCCAGAATGTGGGTTCATTTCATTAAAACTTCATCCGAACGGGACCATAATAACATACAGGGTGTCTTCTATTCCTTGAACATTGTTGAATGTTTAAACACTAATCATGGTTTTCTGTACAGCAATTCTTCCTTACAGCAATTTCCTATTGCTCATACTTGTACATATTCCATTCAGAGCGGGCAATCCAAAGGGGGGGAAATGCACATTCTGGAGAGCTTCGTCAACGATTGCCTTCAAGGACCTCTTTTTGTGCACTTTGTAGTTATAATTATATAGAAGAAGAAGTAGAAGAGATTGGATTTATACCCCGCCCTTCACTACCCAAAGGTGTCTCAGAGCGGCTTACAAACTCCTTTCCCTTCCCCTCCCCACAACAGACACCCTGTGAGGTAGGTGGGGCTGAGAGAGCTCTTGACAGAAACTGCTCTTTTTCAAGAACAGCTCTTATCAGAACTAAGGCTTGCCCAAGGTCATCCAGCCAGGTGCAAGTGGAGGAGTGGGGAATCAAACCCAGTTCTCCCAGATTAGAGTCCGCACACTTAACCACTACACCATATACACTGTTTTGTTGAAAGAATATATTGTTATTGACGGGTTTTGCTTCATAGATGTAGCACTTGTTTACAGCTTCCTTGTGTCTTTGAACTTTCAGGCACTGCCTTGCCAGACTCATCTGCCAAAAATGGCATGAACAAAACCAAACAAGGACCCACGGTAAGTAGGAAAACCAACATACAACAAATACCGTGCACAGATGATTATAAGATATCATAAATGATTTTATATTTTTTGAAAAATATTTTTACAATAATTTCTTCATATATAATTAATCATCTTAATCACAATTCACAATATAATAGATATCAAAAATATCAAATATCATCTCCATAGAATCTCAAAAGATATTGTACAACCTTATAATTAATAATAGTCCTCCTCTGTTAAATAAAAGTTTCAAACAGAAGAATATCTGGACCTCTGTTGGAGGAAGACAGAGCACATATTATAAAGAGACTTTAAGGAGTTCTCCCTTTTGAAACTTTTCTTTAACAGAGGAGGACTATTATTAATTATAAGGTTGTACAATATCTTTTGAGATTCTATGGAGATGATATTTGATATTTTTGATATCTATTATATTGTGAATTGAGATTAAGATGATTAATTATATATGAAGAAATTATTGTAAAATATTTTTCAAAAATATAAAATCATTTATGATATGTTATAATCATCTGTGCACGGTATTTGTTGTATGTTAAAAATGGCATGAAGGCAAATTTCTTCCCTAGTTTGCCTCCAAAATCTGGTGGTCAGAGGTATATACAAAAAAGGAGAGGTACTGAGAACCAGAGGTCTGATACTGTTTGTATAGAAGGTATTAAAGGTGCATGTATAGTGACCACATTACAAATATCAAATTGCAAAGATATGAAAACGGACTGTAATTGCAAAACTATGAAAATGTCAACACGTGTCACAAGAGCAATGATTAAGAGCACAATAATAAATTGCCTTTTACAACATTAGCAATACATCCACTAGCAATTACAATAATGGGTACAGAAATCCATGCAGGGACAAAAATTGCTGTGAATATTGTGTTGTGAGAAATAAGCAAGCCGAACAAGGACCCACAACAAGGCAGGATGCCCGCTATGTTCCTGTTTCAGTATGAATCTTCATCCGTTGTAAGATACACGACCTTGTGCTGGTAAGTTTGAAGTTTGAAGGCCTATTATAAACAACATTGGAACAATGAATTCTAACACCATTAAGTCAAACTGTAATTTTGTTAGGAAAATACAAACAAGGGACAA